GCAGATCAGCAGCACAAAAACACTGACCCACACAAAAAGGTGGGAAGGGATTTCTACAAGTCTCTAGTCCAATTCCCTGCTTACAGCAGGGTAACTCCAAGGCTAGACCAACTTGCTTAGGGCCTTGCTCACACAACTTCTGAACATCTCCAAGGATGGAGATACCCCAGTCTTTTTAGGCACCTCTTCCCCTACTGACCTGCTCTCAAAGAGAAGATATTTTTTCTTATACATATTTAGAATATCATTGTTTCAACATTTGTCCCTTGTTTCTTGTCCTTTGTTTGCTGCCTTCTCAAGGTCTGACTTCCTCTTCTCTACAGCTTTCCTTTAGGTAGGAGCAGACAACTAGACACCCCCTTGTTCTTCTCTGTTCAACAGACCCAGCTCTCCCAGCCCTGTGCATTGTGAGCTCTGGCCCTGCACTGTGGGGGCCTTCTGCTGGCCATGCTGCAGGTTGTCAACATCCCTCTTGTACTGAGGAGCCAGTCCTGGCTGTAATCTTCCAGGTGGGGCCTCACACCACTCCGGTGGATAGGAATAATTTCCCTTGATCTGCTGACTACACCTTTGCTAATGCAGCCTAGGCTTCAGGGAACCTTCATTGCTTGAAGGGCTCGCTGCTGGATCATATTTAAAATGCTTCTTGAGAACTTTTGTGGGGATCTAATAAAACACAGGTGTTACTGCCACAGAGAACTTGCTGCCCTACTAGAGCAGGCTTTGCCTGTGCATGTGTGGTGTGCTGTGGCTGTGCTCACCCAAGAGAGACCCTCTCAGGCACTTCTGATACAACTGTGATTTTTGCTCTGTGCTGAAGGTCCTCAGCCACTCTTGCTGTCCTGACACATCCAGCAAGTGATATTTTTATCTCCTTCAAAATGATGGGATTTGTATTCATGGCACATTGGCAAGAAGTTTCAGTAACCAACTGCCCTTACTACACTACAGTGGCCAAATGAACTCAGCCTGGAGCCACGGCTGATCCAATCACAGGCTGTTACATTCCTGCCCAACAGGGACCCACCTCCAAGTTCTCGGTCCCAGAGAAACCTACTTCTTTCAGTGAAAAAGGGATTGGATTGTTGCTGCATGTGCTTCAAATTCCAGAGTGTATCCCAGGTGTCTGCTCTTTGCCCTTAAGAGAGCAAGATGCCACTGTAATGAAATGATTCAGGCAACCAAGCATGTGCAGGATAACAAGTATCTATAACTCTCCATTACCATGTATTTCTAAAAGCTTAAACAACACTAAGCAGAAAAGTTATCAAGCAGGGGAAAATGCAATCTATTTCCATGCAGCAGAAAAAAAGAAAAAAAACCAAAAAACAAACCCCAACAACAAAAAAAAAGCAACCAAGAATGACGTGCTGAAATGCTCTCTGCTGTGTGCTGCCAGGGGATTTAATCAGCCGATTGCCAAAGAGATGTCAGTTCCCTGAAAAGAGTGAGGACAGCACGCCTTGCTGAGAAATGTACTCTCAAGATTAAAATACCAGCTGCAGGATAAACCAAATATTGTCCTACAAGCAGCTAAAAATTTGGGTGAGAATGAACAGCTGCCATCCTTAAAATGTGTGTCACTACATCATCACACTTTCCAAGTCCATCTGTCCATCTCTGCCTACTGGTCAATACCCTCAACAAATTCAGGTACCACTTGAACCAGCTTAATGAACACGTCCAGTCAGGTTTACCAGCCCTAGAAGCCAGCCACGCAGGATCCTATGACACAAAATACCACCTATATTACTGGGACAGCCACAGTGAGCAGCGCAGTTTACACCCAGACAGCAAACAAAAGGTGTTTAAGCACAGAGAGTACAGTGGCACCACAGGAGGACTGTCTGTAATCACAACTGAAAAGCATGGGGTGGGTGCTTTGTGTTGGGGTGGTGAAAAAAAGAGAGAAATGGAGAAATCAGGAGAGTAGATAAAGAAGGAAAGCGCTGAGGTGGGAACGTGACAGTCAGATGTGATTGTGGAGGAGGCAACAAGGATGGGAGATGGAACAGGCAGCCAGCGTGGAGGTGTGTGTTTGCCACCCTCCCGGGCCAAAGCTGCACAGCAGAAGTTGTTCCAAAGGTTGTGAGAGAGCAACTGTCGTGGTAACTGGCTGGCTTTCTCCACACATTTTCTTTTCTGAGCTTGTCAGGAGCTGGTGCCCTCAGCAGGAGGTGGGAACCCGGCTGTGTTATTCACATGATTCTGCTCCCAGAAGGGAGGCCCCACTAACCTCCACCTACCACCTGCTCCAGGGCTGTTACCTCCTGCAGTCACTTTGCATTGCTGCTGGCTTATTTCACTGCTGCGGAGTTGTGAACCGCTCTGTCACCCCCTCCCCAGCTCCCAACCTGGGCTGGCTGTGCCGCTGGGTGAACCCCATGGCTGGTGCAGCCTGACCACCCCTCCTCACACAGCTCAGAGGAAGCTGGGTAGATGGAGGCTGTAGCAAAGCTGGCCTCTCTAAAGAAATTAGCTGGTCTGGAGACTGGCCTGGGGTCTCCACTACACACATCTTGTTACTTGCTGTGGGGCCAGCCCTCAGCCAAGCCTGTCTCCACGCATCAGCATGGAGATGTAAGGTGTAAGGAGGGCACCTCTTCACCCCACACTGCTGCTCCTGCCCCAGCACCAGCCGTTTTACACAGGTTTTTACTCACCACACTCCTTAGCTGAGCCCAGCTGGCCAGTGTTATGAAATCCTAGAAGCCCTAAACACACACACACACGTGGGATGTGGGCATTTCTCACCAGGGAGAAACCCGCAGTGGCAACCAAGATGCTCTTCCCTGATGTGGAAAGGAGCAAGGGCTGCCAAGTAAAGGGAGGCAACAGAGAGCTGGGAAAGAAGGTAAAGAGATCAGCTGTACTCTCCAGAGACACACACCCGTGTTTCTCTGACTTTGCCTCCTCTGAAGGAAAGGAGATAAGACAAATCAAGTATCTGTGGCAGATGTTAGTCACGCTGCCTCACGTGCTGCTGAAGGGTGCTCGGCAGTGCGGGGTGGGAGGGGGAGCAGAAAACTCCAGGCACCCTAAGGAAAATTAACCACTTTGTCCCAATCCTCAAGTGACAATTTCCCTTGCCAGGTATAGGGCATTCTGACAAGCACTCCCAGTTATCAAGTCCAGGCCAGTCCTCTTCGAGGAGACTCGGTCCTGTTTCTTCCTAGGCAGCATGCAGGGAGGAAGGAGGCTATAAAGGACTCTGGCAAAGAAGAGAGAAGTAAAAGAGGTGTCAGTGCCAGGCTGTAGTTCCTCTTCCAAGGCACAAGATTGAATACATTTGCTGCGTTGCAGAATGACGAGAGAAATGTCACCTTCAGAGGTGATCTAACAATCACAAAAATAAATTAGAGGAGAGAAAAAAAAAAAAAAACAAACCACAACAAGACGAGCATTTGTGAATATTCATGAGCAAGTCAAAACCCCCAAATTAACAAGGAAATTAATTTCCAAACTGATTAGGCTGCCAACTCCTTTTATTTAAATAAATCAACAATTGCCTTCATGTGACTCCTGCTGAAGAACGCAGAGCTAATCCTGACTCCTCCCAGGAGGAAGTTTGGTGCCGCCTGCGATGACCAATACTCCAGCACGTTGTGGGCACAGGCAGGCGCTGTGGCTGGAGCCGCCGGGAGGTTTTCCTCTGCCCACTGCTCCGGATGTTGCGGTTTCACGATCGCCCGAGCCCATCTAACCGCTGGCTGCTGTGCTTGTGCTCTCCTTGGTCCCACCCTCTTACTCATGCTGGCTCGCTAAAGCTGTTCCAGCATGCCAAGCTGGCAGAAAACTCACGCAACAATTAAAAAAAGAGGTTTCTCTCAAGTCAGAGCACTGAAACAGCTCAGCCAAACGCCCGGCGCGCAACACCGCAGGTGAGGAAGGTAACCTGACCTGACCTGGGAGGTGGGCCCGGCGCCAAAGTTAACCCTGCTACGAGTAGCGGAACGAAGCCTACATTATCCTAATAAAGTCTCTTTCCGCACGAAGTGTCTAAGACAGAGCAGAGCAGCAACAGCCAGAGCGCTTGGTGATTTTTGTGGGGTGTCTGCAGTTCGGTGCGGGGCTGCCCAGGGCTCAGCGATGCTCCGTGATGTGTCCTGCAGGAGCAGCCCGGCTGTGCGCGGGGCTCCAGGCACCGAGCGCCGGCTGCTCCTCCCGCTGCGCGCCCGGGAGCCAGCGGGAACCGCCAGACCAACCTTGGGTGGGCTGAATCCGTGAAACCGAGCTCTCAGTGACTGGGAACGAGGGTGAGCTGCAGCCCCCTCCGGGGTCACGTTGTGCACGGTGACAAATACAAAACCGACTGGGCTTTGGGTGAGGTTACACGGAGCCGCCGACTGCGGGCTCCCCTCCACGCCCGGCCTCGCCCTCCTGCTCCCGGCAGGGAATGAGATGGTCCAGTTTGCCCATTCTGGCACAAAACCAGCTCGCGGGAAGCCCCTTCTGTTGGCTTAGCATGACAGACACGTTCAACAGCGTGCCAGGAAACGCTCGAGCCAGCGCGGGCTGGGACCGTCCCCGGCGCTGGCAGCCAAACTTAGGGACAACTCCTCTGGAGCATCGCGGCGGGCCGGGACCGTCCCAGGCGCTGGCAGGCACAGCGTCCAGGAAAACTCCTCTGGACCAGCCCCATGCCGCGCCGACCGAGAGGCGGCGGCCGAATTAGTGCTCCCGGTGGCTCATGAATATTCATGAGGGCGGCCTCATCTCCCCCCCATCCCCGGTCCGCCCGCGTCACGTGACGCCGCGAGGCCGGAAGCGGCCCTGCCGGCCGGGCTCGGGGACGCCGCGCGCCCGCCCGCCACAGCCACTTCCGCCCTTCCGCCAGCACGGGATTCCCCGCGCGCCGGCGCCCTCCGCGCTTCCGGTAAGCGCGCGCGCGCGCCCGGCCCCCGCCCCGACCTCCGGCCGCGGCCACCTCGCCGGTGCCCCCGCCCCGGGGAGCTTCCCCCAGGCCGCCGCCGCCGCTCCGCCGCCCCGTTTTCAAGCGAAACCGCTGATGACGCCGTTCCGCTCCTCTTGGCGACCCGGAAGCGCCGGGGCGCGCCCCGCCCCCTGACCCGGAAGCTCCTCCCCGCTGTCTTTCCGGTGAGGAGGCCGCCGCCGCCGGAGCCGGGCCGGGGCCGCCGCTGGGGGGGAGCCCGGTAACGTGCGGGGCGGCGGGACCGCAGGCGGGGGGCCGGGCGGCGGGACTTCCGGGGCCGGAGCGATCCGGAAGCGGAAATGGAGGAGGGCGGGCTGTCTGTCTGTCCGTCCGTCCGCCCGTCTGTCCCGGTGTCGGGGGCTCCGCCACGGGGGAGCCGCACTCCGGGCCGGCCCCGCCCTCGGCCGCCGCGGGGGGAGGTGGGTCCGGGCCCCACGGGGAGCGCCTGGCCCGCGTATGGCCGGGGTGCCCCGGCCCGCGGGCCCCGCGGAGCGCCGCCCGCTGCCATGCGGGGCCCCGGGCGCCCCGGTAACCGAGGCGGTTTATTTGCAGAGCCGGCCCTGGAAGGAGGAGAAATGCAAGAGGAGGGAGAGTGAGAGGGGTAAGGAGCTCTCGGAGCTGCGTGAGTGACCCCCGCCCCTGCCCCGGGGACTGCCGCGGGGTGGGAGGAGATGGGATGGGCCGCGGGTCCCGGAGTTGGGGGCGTGAAGGCATTTGAGCTCCAGGGTGCGGGAGAAGGGATTGACCGCCTGGAAGGAGCTGAGGCGCAGGGTATGCTCTCTGCCAGGCACCTGTTCCAACAGAGGCTCGCTCGGTCGGGGTGGAGGCTACACAAGTGTCGAGGAACGGCACCAAAGTTCTGTCTCTAGCGTGCGGGTTTGGGATCCAGGACTCTGTCCGGTTCATTTGGGATATTCCCGATGAGTGTTCAAATGTGCTTGTTCTAAAGGTGTAACAGCATTTGAACTTTGTGGTGCTTATGACTTCCGTGGAAGCATTTTTGCTTTTGATCTAACAGCCTGCGTGGCTTTCAGCATCCTCAGTATTTTGCAGTAATTAAGCCTAAAAGCTCCTTGTCACTGAACAAAGATCTTGGGCAGATATAAAATAACAGTCTAAATTGCTCCCGAGCGTTACACTCAGGGCTTTTTGTTGACTGAAAACTCCGTGCCGAATAGGAGAAAAAAGCCAGGCATCTGGAGAATAAAAAAACCCGTGTTAAAAGTCAACCTCTGATTAAATACCTGCGTATCCAACCTTGATTGTGCCTTCCAGAAACACAGCCTCTACCTCAGCGTATACTTGCACGTGCTTTTATCTGTCTGTTTATGATTAAAGTGGTGACCTGCCAAGAAGTATAAATCCAGCACGTTAAGTATGTGATTCTGTGAAGTACTCTGTGAGATCTAAACTCCAGATCCCTTGTCCCTTGTGAGTTCTCTGGTTCACTCGGTTGTTTATTTGGTGCATGTACATTTGTGGTCTGTACATAGAAAGTGTTTTTGGTTTATATCAGGAGGGTACGTTGACATCTGTCTGATACTAGACTGGTGAATAGGAAGAAGGTCCCATCTCTGGCCTGTTTGTGGAAGCTGGGATGATGAAGGCCCTGCAGTGGGAGCGTGCTGTGGTACAGGGTTGAAGCTCCAGCCCATGTCTGGTAGTTATAGAGCAATTGGAAGGGTTACGTGCAGAGTTCTGGTAAAGTAAGTGTGAGCAGCATCTAAGTGGGGGCTGCCAATAGGGGTGCATGTTTTCAAAATACTCTTTTTAGCCTAAAAATGGGGTAGGGGAGGGACAGCTCTGGGCACTAGGATAGTAGGTTGGTGGAGGAATCTTACCTTTGTTTTCTGCCTTTGGAAGACCGGCTTGCTAGTGAAATTGCATGAAAGCTTCAACTTTTACACCATTTCTCCTTTTCCTCCACATTCTTATAACTCCATCACACTTCAGCCTTTCAAGCCAGAAGTTTGAGGCCTGATAAATAATATGCTCAAGCATGAAGATTTTTGGATGGGGAGGTGGATTCTGAGGGAGTCTCATGAAATCAGCGTAGCCATCCTTTGAAGAATCAGTAAGAGCTGTATTTGACTTGCACAGTTTGCAAACTGAGCAAACAAAAGTTAGATTCTCTGTGAAGTTCTGATGGAAGACAAGATGGAGACAAGCAGCCACTGAGTGCCCTGGCCTCTTCTAGGCTGGATTTTGGAATCTGAAAATGTACTTGCCTTTTATTATTTTTAAATAAGAAAGCTGTTGTGAGGGTTTTTTGGTTGTTTTTTTGGTTTTTTTTTGCTTAAATTGGCATCTTTCTGTTTAACTCCTGAAGTTTGCAGTTGTGTCCAAGGGAGTTTTGAACTATTACAAAGTTTCTGTGGAAAACGTATCTGATTATTATATGAGACTTTATATGTTTTTGGAGAGTCCAGTTCACTTCAGTGTTTTTGACGTAGAAGCTAAGCAAATAAGGGCTTATTTATTTTACAAATAAAACCAAACCTAAGGAAAAAAACTCCAAACCTGGAAATTCCAAACAAAATGCCCCTCTGGGTTCAGGTGGTGCTTAATTGCCAAGGATGTGTTATCTCCTCATATGTGCCCATCCTGTGGAAGAAAAAAGCCATGTAATTAGGCACTAAATGCATAGGGCTGTACTGTGGGCAGTGAACTTAATAATTAATTTTGCTCAGAAAAGAAAGCAGAGGAAGGAAGGTAAAGAGTCTTGCCCCATCAGCCTCTGATTGAATCACAGCAGTGTAAATCCAGAGTAATTCAGTCAGGCAGCGAGCAGTCTGACTGCATGCCACCAACGTAAGGTAAATAATTTATCCTTAAGTGTGTTTATTGGTTGATTTGCAGTGAGTGAGTGAGGCAGGAGTACTTGGCCTTGCTGTTGCATGAGCAATTCATACAAACAAAATTATCGGGTAATTTGGTTCATTTAAATATTGCTTCTCCACATAGAGGAAAATTATCTTTACATTTTGGCTCACACACAGCAATTCCACATGTATTTATTCTGTCCTGATACACTTCTGTAATGTAAGTGTTTCATGCTACTGGGGCTATGCCTCTGAGCTCCCCTGATGATTGAGATAGACTTTTCAGAAACAATATTGTTTAACTATTAGACCACTGACAGACCATAACAGAAATAGGAGTGGGGCAGTTTGCAGGTAGCTGCATGAAAACCTACAGTGGTTGCACTCTCTGCCAGATGTATTCTGAGCATAGTTTTTACCTACCACTTTTGCCATATTTGTTTAGGAATAGATGTATCTTCTATTTCAGAAAATACTCTTTTGTTAATTTCTTCAGGTTTTGAGTAGTGTGTTTGCAAGTGTAACAAACTTCGTCCACTAATGGTATTACACAGACGAATGTAAGGATTAGAAAAGAAAGTGCTTCTTCTGTCAGGTATTCCCAAAGAGATTATACTTCAGTGTTCAGGAGACTCTCTTTTGGTGTCCGACTGGTCCTCTGAATGCAGGGAGAGTTGAGATCGAGCAGTGGGCACTTGGCTGGGGGCAGAGTCCTATAGAATCTTGTCCCAAAGATGGTAAGGAAATGGGCAGTGGAGAGCTGAGACATGGTCTCACTTGGAAATAGGGTATCTCAGGAGCAGGGGAATAAGGCTGTTTTCCTACTGCTTAGTCTCATTGGAGGAGAGCAGGAATATTGAATGATATTTTTCTGTTTCTTTCAAGAGTGGGGCTGGGGTGGGCAGCAAGAAGTTAGGAGCCCTGAGTTTGACTTCTTGGTCTGCTGTGGCTGTCTTGTTAACTTAGGCAAGTCTGTTTCCCTCTCTCTGCCTGTCTTTCTTCCTGTGTAACATAATGCTAATGTCCCTTTCCTGCATCTGGGTCCTTAGTGCTGAGCTGGGGTGGAGGGACAGGCAAGGTCCAGAATTTTCACTGCCTGTGGGGTCAGGCTGTCTAATGGTGAAAAACGGTTTTCATCTGTATTTGCCTGGTTGCAGATGCACAGACTTAATTTATTCCATATACTTGGGTGGATGACAACTGGGAAAATTTGGATGTGTTCTGGGTTTCTAGTCAGTCCTGTTTTTTGCATGGAGGACTACCGGGCAAGCGGGCATTTCAGGTGGACCCAAGCCCATGGGAATAATAGGCACCTTTTCCCCCTGAAAATAAATTTTTCATTTGGGCAGATAGCTCAAAACAGGGGAGAAGTTGCTCAAGAAAGACTGGGGAGATTAAGGAACTGTCACAGCATTAGACTGAGTCAGTTCCATGTTGGAGTCTCTTTGGGTTTAATGGGTTTTTTGTGTGTGTGTGTCTGTCTGTCTTCCTTGTCCTTCATTCCTCTTCCCTTCCCCCTTCTTCCTGCCCCCTGTGCCCAGCTAGGATGGAAGAATCTCATTTCAACTCCTCCCCGTACTTCTGGCCAGCAGTGCCCACCGTCTCGGGACAGGTAAGATCTTCCAACCTGTTACGCTGGTCTTGCTTCCTGTTAGAAGTTTATGCACAATGAGTGTTTCTCTTGCGCTTCTTGCTCAGCCAAATGCTGGGCAAAGCTGTGCCAGGATATGCTAAAACCTGTCCTTCCCCCCATGTAGATTGAGAACACCATGTTCATTAACAAGATGAAGGAGCAGCTATTGCCCACAGAGAAGGGCTGCAGCCTGGCTCCCCCCCACTACCCTGCCTTGCTGACAGTCCCCACCTCTGTGGCCCTGCCCACTGGTATCTCCATGGACTCGGACACCAAGCCAGAGCAGCTGACACCACACAGCCAAGCCCCTGTGACTCAGAACATCACCGTGGTACCAGTGCAGTCTGCTGGGCTCATGACAGCAGGTAGGGCACTCCAAAGGCTTTGGCAGCGTACCAAGGGGGATGTGGGATGGGGAAAAAAGAGGTCCTGGAGAAGCTTTATTGGCCTGTACGTTATTCCTAGCCTTACTGATGATGTGGACTGTCTTGGTGTGGTTTCACTGTGAATCTCTAGGCACTCCATACATCCACGTCTTTATGGAAGTTTGACTTGCAGCAGAGGAGCTTTGGGAGGGGAAGTTACCCTTGTGTTTGTGTTGTAGTCAAAAGTGGGTGCTCCTGTGGGATAAGGAGGTTGGGCGTAATTGGAGATGTAATAACTGACTTCCTCCACCTTCCTTTGTTTGCAGGTCCTGGTCTGGTGATAACTTCCCCGTCAGGTTCTCTGGTGACCACAGCCGCCTCTGCCCAAACCTTTCCCATCTCAGCTCCCATGATTGTCTCTGCGCTACCCCCTGGCTCCCAGGCAGCCCTGCAGGTGGTTCCAGACCTGTCCAAGAAAGGGACAACCACCCTCACTGAAGGGGCTGGGGGAGTTGCCCCCAAACCACCCCGGGGCCGGAAGAAGAAACGATTGCAGGAGTCAGGGCTGCCAGAGATGAGCGACCCCTTTGTGCTGACAAACGAAGATGATGAGGACCAGCACAAGGATGGCAAGACATACAGGTGGGGAGTGGGGTTAAACCTTGACTGTAACGTTGCATGGGGATGGGGGTGTACTTAACCCTTCAGAGGGTTACATGGGGAAGAAGAGATCTCTGCCTTGTACCTAGAGGGTCCCTGAGTAGAGAATCTTTGAGCTGCAGAAGGAGTTGAGTTTTCTTTCTGGTAAGGAATATTCACAAGCCGATGGGTTAACCCAAAACTAAGGATTTCCTTTTAGTGGACAGTCTTGATTTCCTGAATATGTAGTTGTTGACGTTACTAGGTTAGTTAATGACCAGGATGTTATGGAGGCTAAACTGTATCCCTGATGGCACAGCCAGGTAGTTTGGCTCCTGTACTGCAGAGTGCAGTGCTGTCTGGTACAGCTGGAGCACTTCTGGTGTAGCTGGGAGCCCTGGTATACCTGGGTGCTCCCCAGTTAAAACTCCAGTCTGTCCAGTGTAAAGACTACAAACTGGAGACACACAGAGCAGGAAGTGAACTGTGGTGATAGTGTCTGCTCCTATGTGTATCGCCCCATGTGATCTATCTCAGCACTCCAAAGAAAACAAGGGGAAAAAAATGTGTTTCTGAATTAAATATAAGGGTGTTTATGAACCCTGAGTGTATCAGATAAGAGGGAGGAGAGTTCTGAGCCCTGAGGTTGGGTTTCTGAGCTTGGAGGGATGTGGCTTGAGTTTACAAGTGATGGTGAGGAGAGAGATAAGGTAGGAGGGAATACTTGAACCAGAGGATAAGCCGTGTGGGTGTTTCAGAAAAGGTGGGAACCAGACAGAGCAGAAAGCGGTAGGGAATAAATGTGGTGGTCTGTCTTAGGCGGGAAGCAGGAGCACTTATGGGTGATTCAGTGATAAGTGTTTCTGACAGATGATTAAGATAAATAAGAGGCGAAGTAGTAGCCAAATTGAAACAGAAATAGAAGATGATCCCTAGGACTTCTCACTTTCCTATAATGTGCCCAGCATCCCATATCAAACAGTTTTTCTTTTATCATCCTAGATGCTCTTTGTTTTGGTACAGATTTAGTTATCTTTCTGGAATTAAGCCATAGGAATATGAAGGCATCTACACAGAATCTGTGCACCCACCTCAGGCATTTTTTCACTTTTAGCTATAGCATTTTTTTAACACTTATGTTTTTTAATCAAAATAGTTAAATGGGTACAAAACTAGAGCTAAATGGGTACAAAACTAGCCTTTTTACTTTAGCCAATGTTCCAGTTCTTCTGCTTTGAAAATATAATCAGCATATGGTGAGGAAGGGTGGGAGTGTTAGGTAGGTAGCTTGCTGTTTGTAATCCCACCATTTATTTTGGGCCATAGCCACAGTTCCACACTACTCAAGCTGCTTATAGTTTGGGTTGCTAATTAGGTTGTTAAATATGTATTTACAGGGGACACAATTGGCAGTGAACACTAGAATTAAAGCTGATCCAGGGCTTTAATTATAGCTCCTTGTTTACTTGTAAGTTTGAAAAAAAAATGCCCAAGACCAGGTGGAGTGACTCAGCAGAAACTTTATGAACACGCATAGTCTGTATACCAGCTCATGAAAAAGGCTTTGCAGGGAAAAAAACAGATGACTGTATATGTGGGAACATGTAATATCTTTATGTTTTAAGATTTCTTTATGTTTAGTCAGAGTGTGGTACCTCTTCCACTAGCCCCTACCCCAAGTAGGCCTTCCTCTGAGCAGTGCTTAGGTGTGAGAGAGCTAAATTGAGATTTATTGCCACCAAGGAGTACTTCTGCCCTCCTTGAGATCTGCTCCTTGGATGATGCATTCCCTGTGCAAGTTTGGAACTAAAAATGATTGTTGGAAAAATAAAGGAGAGCGCTATCTTCTCTTGGAGCTGTGGGAGAGAAAACCTTTGTGAAACATAGTAAAATCATTTCTCTATAATATGCATATGAATAGACTCACAAGTTAAAACTTTGAGAAATACTGGGATCCTTCTGTGTTCTAGAGCATGATTTCAGTAGTTCCCGTCACTACAGTATGCAGACATATGCTCGCTAAATTAAGACTGTGGGTGAGGTTCATCTACTCCTGCTTCTTTCTCAGGCTGGAGGAGGAGTTGGTTTTGGCATTCAGATGACTATGTTTGTATGATTTCACTGATTCCCATGATGAGACACTGAGAATAATGTACTCAGATTCCTGGAAGGAGTTGTACTACATGGATCAGTGTGATTTTTTATTTTTTTTTTAATTTCCTAAAGCCTGGGATTATTTTGTCAAATTTAATTATTTTTTTAAGCTTTGTTTTTTAGCCCTTTGAGCTCTCTTGTCACAGGTGTCTGGGCAGGTGGCTAATAATTTGTAATTCCTGACTCCTAGTGTGGTGATGAAGACAGAGCAAGGCCTTGAGTGAGCAGCACAGCCAGGCAGATCTGGAAGGTGTTGGAGCATAAACCTTGATGTGTATACTCCAGCTCATCCCGTTCTCTGCTAAATGTAGAGGTGCCTGCTCCAGCAAATGGCAGCTGTTTTAGTGCTGTATCTTCTCCAGAAGTGAATTAGTGGTGCAAGAATCTCTGTGACTAGGGGTTTTTTTGTAAGCAAAGGTGTTGAGGCTTTTGCTAGTGATGGCAATATTTTGCAGATCTTTGATGTCTGTCCTTAGGATTAGTCTGGCAGAGTCCTTGGTACTTTGTGTTGTGCTGCTGGAAGAATGCTTGCACCTGCAGGGGACAGCATCTAACCTAGTCCTGTGAAGAATTTTCCTTCATGAGTAATGTCACTTCAGTCTTGTCTGGATTCATCGCCAGCTCTTTGTTAATCTTCCCTGACATCTTTGTAGAATTCGCTTTTTCTTTGGAAAATGAGATCAGCATCAAGAGTCCTTCTAGAAAGATGAAAAAAGACTTCTAGAAAGACATGGCTTCTTCCCAGTGCTTTATAAGTGCTGAGGAAAAGGTAGCAAATGGGTCCTGGATACAGGAGGATTGTTTTTTAGTCCTGGTGTGGTGCCTGTACCTGTGCACTTTTAGAAGTCTGGGCTGTGATGTGATCGGTAGACAAGACTGATGAAGTGGTTCAGCCACTCTGGGCCAGATCATCAATTCTCTTTCTCTTGACAGCTCTCTAAGTAGTTTCTTTGTAAGAGGAAGAGAGCTCTGTATAGGCATTACTAGGCTCTGGTATTAAGTAAAATCTAGGATGAATACCAGTTCAGTCTGGAATGGTTTTGCAAGCTGTGCTCTGGAGCCTCAGATACCAACAGAAAGGTTGTCAGCTTGAGAAGGGCCTCACTGTCATAGTGTAATCAACAAGCTCTGTCTTCTCCACTTCTAGTTTTGAGTTTTCCTTCCTTTCACTGGGGAACAGCAGGGAGGTTGGGAGACAATAATCAGCTGAGGGACATAAGAAATTTCTGAGATGAGTCTAAGGTGCAAAAGCATACAGAAGCTTTAGTAAACTGAGCTGTAGGAGATGAGGAAGCTGGATGGAGACCCTCATTAAGGAACAAATTATGGACACAAGTGGAACCAGTGGTTTGAATACAAAGCAGGTGGGCATCTTCTCAGACACGTCTTGTTTTTAGCCTGTTTTTTCTTCCCTTTACCGGATTTAGCGTTACTGTTTGGTGAACTTCCCATAGTTTTGAATCAATTTGTATGTAAGTGGCTATGGGTTTTGTAAGCCACAAATGTCTGTGACAATATTGTTGAATTGGGCCAGTTTTAAGCTTGGAAAATATCTGTTAAGCATGCGCTGAAATGATTTATAGTTTGGTGGCTGAAATATGTGAAGGTTATATTCTCTTTGCTGCTTCTTGAGTCTTGCATGACTCCAGGCACTCAGGAGACAGTCCATCTCCACTGAGAAGACAAATACAGCCTAACTTCTCTCAGTTTCTGTGTGAGGCTGGACTATATATCTACTTTTTCTGCAGCTCTAAGCATCTTCTAGAGTTGCACTGAAGGGCCAGACATGCTTTTCCTTCAAGGTCAGCTGTTTCTCCTGCTTCAGAAGGAGTCTCTAGTGCTCCATGTGGACAGTAACCTCTCCCTCTGATGGGCACAAAGGCAAGGCTTAACAAGACCCTGCTTGGTTCAAATGTGGTAGGGATGAGAATGAGGTATGAGCAGGGACTGGACCTGTTTGTGTTGAGGAAATCTGGAAACTTGGTAGAGATGGGAATCAAAAAGGAGGAGAGAAAAGACAAGAGCCTACAAACTAGGGAATGCAGCAGAGGATGTGATGGGAAGCCTCTTTGCAAGGGAGAGATGGGAGAAGCTAGTACAGGAATAAGCTATAAACAGCCAAGACTGAGGGGTGGAGGAAAGAACCAGACCTGCTAGGTGCTGGAAAATGAGATACCTAGAACTGGCAGAACAGAGAGGGACAAGAGTATGGGATGTGGACAGACAAACAGAAGCATGAGAGAGAGGAGATAAGTGTTAGGTAATTGAGGGAATGAAATAGTGAAGAGCCCCTGCAGTAGAGCATCAAGAGGCTGGGGCTTGTGGATAAAGAGCTTGGGTCTGGGCCTTGGTGCAGGAGGGGGGATTGCTCTGGGCTAGAAGGCTAAGGGCAAAGGGGGAATTAAGTTTGAAGTGTCAGGCAGAAAGTTTGACCACATTCCCTCCAAAGCCTAGAAATATTAAACCCAATGTTTCTAAATTTTGCCATGTCTTTGATGTCAGCATAAGAATGTGACCTCCTCCGGCAAAGAACCTCATCTCCCTCTTAGGCTAGAAAAAGGTGACAAAGTATTGTTGCTGTCATTTATCATCTTAGCTGCAGTGGCAGAGGTCTGTGCAATGGATTTTAAGATTGCTGATGACCAACGTGGGTGTCAGTATGATGCCACACGTTGGAATTTCTGTTTGCTTTTTTTAACAAGTAGTTCCGTGAGCAGCGGAACTAATGATGCCTGGTTTCCAGCGGCTCTCTCCTGTGTGGATTCTCTGATGTCTAATCAAGGGTGAGCTTATTAGCCTTTCCCTCAGCAGAGGACTCCAAGAGAGTCTCTCTTCTTTCCTCAGCTGCA